TGAACGCATGTATGCGGAATCGTAGAATTCCGAGGGAGAAAGAGAGAACGAGAGGGAGAGAGAGAGAGAGTGAGCGACGCGGTCGGGAACTTTGCCGAGAATTCGTGAAACTTGAGCTTTCGACGATTAATCCAAGTGTGCAAGTTGGTAATCGAGGGTGGATATACGAAGAAATGATGCAAAAACGCACTTCGCTTTCGCTCATATTCGCTCGCGGGGTTTTCGAGGTAAGGACATAACGGAGGGAAATATGTGTGGCTAGCAATGTTTTATTTCACGGCGAATTTTTAAGCGATACGATAGAACCGATATACATATTAACGCATTTAAAAAATATTTTTCTCATAAATTACATAAATTAAAAATTGTACCAGTACACATTTATACGAAAGCTTATGTATTTAATGTATCACCTTCGATCCGGTGACGACGCGCATTGTCCACAATTTTTCTCTTTTTTTCCCCTTTTTCTTTTATTACCTTAACGACCATCATTTTTTCAATTTTAATTTGTTAAAAATTGTAATTAAGAATTGCATTACTTTTGCTAAAAAGAACCGTCGTATTCCAATTACGCCTCGTACTTGTTGAATTTTCAAAATCACAGAGGATCATACCTTTATGATCCACGATTGATCTCTTTGCGGCGTGGACTCACCGTGGCAACGGCCATCGATCTCGGGCTATCTTTGAGACGGGCGGGTACCGTTTGGCAAAGTGATCGGATATGCGGGCCAAAATCTGCAACAGCGATAGCAAACGTTTGCCGTTGCCAATCAAGCTCACATAATGCCGCCTCGTCTACCGTACGGTCAAACAGCCTATGGGGATTTCATGCTACGCCGTGGCGCGCATACCAATCCGCGTGCGCGTGTTTTAAGTGTGTGTACGCGATACAAATACATATAAAGCGATGTGAAGCCGCGGCTCACTGTAGGCTCACGCGCGTCCATCGCCGGTGCCGATACGTGTACACGTGTGTACGTAGGTCCAATATTTTGCCAGGGCCCGGCCACGTTTGGCATACGCTCGATATACCGCGGCGCAGATTGGATTTGAAGTTTATAGGGCGGAAATTCTTCGGGGACCGGCCTACCCCGAGGGACGAGGCTACGCAAACTTTGTGCGCGGGGCGGCCGGCGAAAATGAGCGGCGTGAAAACGAAATTAGGCGCCGTCAATTGTGCCGTTTGTTTTAAAAGCATTGTAAGGTAGTTCCGAAGGATTTCGCCCTGATGTGCGATATTGTTTCGCGTTTAGAAGCTTAATCTGTTAATTAAACAAGTTTCGGTGAGCTTAGATCTCACCAAATTTTTATAATGGGATTTAGTTAGCATTCTGATATTAATGAAAAAAATTGATACTTCTCATTGAAATGTTTGAAACGCACATGATAATCTCTTTGCGATATTGAGAGACGTTCAACTTTTGCACTCGACCCTTGTGCTACTTTTATACCGGTTTCAATTTCGCAACACCTTGGCTCGCATGATATTTTCGTGTAACAGCTTGATCGACATACTTTGATCAAACGTCGTAATCCCAGCGTGATTTCGTTACGTTGTCGAAAGCGGCTTAGCCGGGCAAGTCTCAGGCGAGCGGGATCTTTTTAGCTAACGCGACGACATTAGAGGCCGCTAATATTTCACCCAATTATTCGACGCTTAGGCCAGGAATCCCGTCTTCGGCACGTCAAGGACTCCGGGCCGGGCGGTCGTAAGAAAAAGCAGTGAAGAAACACAACGAGACAAGAAGGGGGGAAAAAAGGAGAAGAAAAGGGAGAAGGGGGAGAACCGCGATGACGAGCCGCCACCAGCACCTCTCGGCGAGAGGCGGGGGCGACGAATTAGAGATGCAGAGCCACGTTCGCGGTCATCGGGGATATTAAGCCGAATCCCTTAGCTTGATGGATGAAACGGGAGTTACGTTAGTATCCAGTATCCGGCGGTGTCCGTGCCCATGCATCATCAATAACTCTCCTGACTCTTTCACCTTGGCCTCTCTTCCCGCCTCCTCTCATCTCGCCTCATCTCGCTTCGCCTTGCCTTATTTCGCCTAGTCTCGCGCGCATGTGTTTCCTCTCGCGGCGGATAAGAGAAGCCGTGACTTTGTTTTCCGACGAAGCTCGAGGCGAAACGTCCGAAACGCCGCTTTTAAACGTTATCTTTTTCCCGTCGAAAACTTGTGTGCCTGCTTACCAAACGCCCTCGTACCTATTTATTCTCCTCACGCTGAAAGTGTCGCGAATTGCCAGCGGTATCGACTTATCCGAACGGGGTTACCCTGCGCTCTCTCGTAAATCACAAGTGCAGCGAGCGAAATTTACGAAACTGAGGAGAACGCGCGCGAAAACGGTCGGAAAATCGACGGGAACAAAACAGCGGAGCAGCGCGAGGAGACGCAAACGAACGGCCTCGTACTCCCGAATGATTTCGAGAACGGGCGTATGCACATGGCACAGCGGTATAATTACGGATCGTATGTATCAGACACGCAATCAAGAATGAATTATCGCGGAACCACGCCTCCTGCCAGCGCTCAACCGGGCACAACAATGCCGGCGCATCACGAGCAGCGACCCGGCTGTCGATGATGTGTGCTAATAGTCCCCTGTGGCTTTCGCTCACAGTATCCAGGTTCCGTGACACGCTTTTTCTTTCTCTCCCGCGGATTCGCGCCTCTTAGCGCTACTGAGAATCCGCGCGAGTCCCATTCGTCGCCGACGAAAATTAACGCCAGCGCGAAAATCACGTTTCGCACGTTTCAATGGAAACTTCGCGTGGGTGACTCGCTCTTTGTGAAAGTTTTAAGGTACTTAACAACAATGATAACAATAATAATTATTATAATCATATTGTTATTAGCTCTCCTACATACTTAATGATGACGATATTAGTTGGTTACATGATTAAATTTGCACCGTCGCGACATAATATGCTTTTATTTAGTATTAGGCCGTTTTAATATCCATAATTTAATTTATTAACGTATCATGATTTAATAAAGCCACTTCATAATGTACTAAATGCCGTGAATTTTACATGTCGAGTGCGCGCTGCGATTTTGACGTAACGCATGGCCGAACAAACGCTTGTACATGAAATATAATCTCATTTAGCGCACGGTTGTCACACAATATAGGACGATGAGCTTGTCCTGTCTTAACGTACGTATGCGGGCAGGCAGCGTGGCGTTGTACACTTTTCCCGGAAAAATATTTTAGCTGAGTGAACGAGAGACCTTAGATATTAGATTCTAATAGATACAATTTTTTTGCTGCAGACATGCCGTAAATAAGAAAGATAAGGTTTCACTAGATTTCGTATCGGAATAGAATTTTAGGGGGCTGTTTTAGGAGTGTAAAAGCAGAAATGCCCTGATGTAAATTTATCAAGAAAACGATCCCTTACTGGTTTCGGGATTTTTAAATTGTGAGCGATAGTGCAAATTTTCACGTAAACTAAAATAAATTGGAATTTATCTCCGCACATTCTCCGAATCTTTCACCTGCCGTCGTGTCGCGGGGTATTTCTACAATAGTTCGAAAGGAATGATATGGATTTTGTGGTAGCCAAAGAGCTCGAATAATCAATTTCGTTCCTCTTTCGCTACACCCCACCACCCGCTCTTGTCGCAGCTTTTTTTCCCCATCATCTGGAACGTTGCCGGATGACCCATGGCGGTCTCGACCCATAAAAGCCGAAATAACTCTCGGACCGGACCCCCTTCGACTCGGCGGCGGACAATATCGAAGAAGAGGAAGAAGGTCGGGGGTGGCCGGGAGGGTGCCGGCAACGTAGAGAAACCAGAGGGGGTGGTAGAGGCTCCTGTAATAAATTCGCAATTTCCTTATTACGGGTAATGCTCCGGTCGGTGGATGCGCTCGCATAAATATCCCGAGTTCCGGTGATCCCGTGACTTCCGGTCAGCCGCAATGACTTACGCCGGGTCGCGACGGACGACGAAGGGTGAGAGAGAGAGAGAGACTAGGGGGCAGAATCGCTCGGTCGCCGGCCAACGAGCCAACCATTCACCCCGACCATCCCCCGCGCCAGCTAACGTTCCGTGTGCTCGTTCGCGAAAGAGGGCGACGCTCGCGATGGAATTTGTCCCCGGCCTCGGTTCCGCCCTCGGATGACCACTGATAAATTTAGTAGACTTCTCTCTTTCTGGTCCGGGTATCCTCTATCGCGCTCGTCCGGTTGTGTGCGCGCGCTCTCTCCTCATTTCCCCGCGACCACCCCTTCGTTGCTCTCTTTTTGTAAAGGGTAAGCCGTTACAATTTTCTTGAAAGAAAACACGTCCTTAATTGATAATTATTCATTTTGTTAGGCGAAAGCTACTGACTCCAGCGATAATCGTGCTACAACTGATTGGGAGAGTCTCTTGCCCAAAAACGTGACGTTATATACAGAGTAGATAGCGTTAAGTACAAAAGAAATGTTGCTAGCAGCTATAATATAAATCCGCGTAACACCGAACACCTTGATAGATAAGCGATAGCGCTTTCTCAGATTAATTACACGATCGATACGACAGTTCGATACAGCCATACGGTTATTAATTAACTTATCGCACTGTCCCATTTTGCTTTCGTCATTTTGTTGAAACAGAGCGAGTTCTATATCGCTAAAATCGAAATCGGTGTTTCTATGCTTTGCAAGTCCCCTTGATTTTGCCTTTCACGATTTTACGCAAATTCTTACGCACGCATTGTGAAATTTCGTCAATGTGTGTTCAGGGACTGGATAAGATACGCAGTATGTGACTAGAGATTGGAGGCAGGAAGTTAGGATTATTTCTTTTATAATTTGCACTGATAACGAGACGCTCTGTATTTGTATACTTGCGATTTGACATTACGATATAGAACGATAATAGATAATTTTTGATATATTTTACTACGGATTATCGAATAAAAGTGTCTTTATCATGAAATTTTTCTCTGAATTAGAAGTGATGAAACAGTGAGGTGCGTGTGTATGTGGTTTGTCATGTGAGGGAGGGATGACATTACAGGAAAGTTTGCAAGAAAACGATCATACATATGTATTATCAGATTTATTAAAATATCTTAAGAAACTAATCTACAAATGTAATAATAACAATAGTTCTTGTAAAGTAATTTGTTTTTTGTACTCGTCACTAATTTCAGCTTATTGTTCGTATCTTTCGAAATCGATGGCCACTTATGCATAAATGTCTATGATTTTTACATTTGAGTATTTGTGCATTTTTCGAGTGGAACGGAGGCAAGGCGGGTCGTAATCTCTATCCTTATCGAAGAATTTCCGGAGAAAGGACAATCTTCTTTTTACGTTTGCATTTGTAAAATAATCCGCAACTACACTTGTGGCACCATTCATTTTTAAGACTGAGCTTCGACTAGTTTGTCAGATTTTTCGTTATTTTCATTAAGTTTGGGCAAGCAATCAGCCTCGTTTGGTGCTACGCATACTTTTCTTGCGCTACTAAAATGTAGACCACCTTGGCATTGTACCAAGACCCAACCCAAATCACCAGCACATAAATAATACTTAGCGCAGTCACATTCGTGAATCCTTTTCTCATCGATTACACCTGAAGGATTTGTACAATGTGATAATTGGGGTTCATCGTCGGAGGGAACTTCCTTCGATGCAGGCGGTGCAAGTAGATCTCGATCAATGTTTGCGGCGCTGACAGCCCCAAATGCCAGGAAGGCGATGGTGATTACATATATTCCTATGCAATAGACGAAAATTATGAAAACGGTAGCCCCGATACGATCAAGTCGCGATCTAGCCAACTTTTATTACAATCGAATAGTTGTCAATTATTTAGACAAATTTGGATTGTTAGAAACTTCCAGCAACGTGTAATCGGTTTATTTTAATCGACGTTTATTATAGAAATTTGTTCAACACTCACCCTTCATCGTTTGTCCTCTGCTCAATCCGAATTTAAGAAACGTATCGGTCGAATTGTTCCTATGAACACGTCTTCGATTCGTTTAAATGTGTTACTGATCGAATTTAGACGGACCGGCTTATATATATATGTGTCATGTTATCGCGAAACACAAGGACAGATATCTATCGAAGATATCTATTGAAGATATCTATCGAAGATAGATGTTTCTCGCCGAAAGATTGCTAGTCAAATTATTACGCAGAAGAATATTGCTCCAAAATACGTTTGCCACGAATAATGAACAATTTTTATGCAATCATAACATCGATTGTGATTGATTGTTGGCTAATGTTTCGTATGCTTTCTCGTTCGAGAGAGGGCAATGCTCGTGATACAATTTGTCTCCGGCCTCGGTTCCTCCCTCGAATGACCGCTGATAAAAGTAGACTTCTCTTTTTCTAGTCTGCTGAGGTTTCCTGTGTCGTATCCGGTTCTACGCGCGCGCTCATTTCCCGCGGCCATCCCGTTCTTTCACCTTTCTTCCTTTTGGGTTATAAAAGAAAAGAGTTATTGATTATCAATTACTTCATTTCGTTAGGCGAACGGTCGAGCTTTTAGGAAACCGACTGTCTCAAACGACGATCGTGCAAGGACTGACTGGGAGAGTGTCTTGTCCAAAAGTATGATGTCATACAAACAATATGCAGCGCTAAAAGGAAAGAAGTGTCGCATCTTTAAGCTAAATTTACGTAATGCATATCTTGATAAGCAATAGCGTCCTCAGATTGATTACACAATCGAAGCGACAATGCATGCAGCCACACAGCTGTTAATGAACCTATCACACTTTCCTATTCCGCCCTCGCCATTTTGTCGAAAGAGAATGGATCTCATGTTACTAGACTCAAAATGCCATCCGTATTTCTACGCTTTGCAAGTCTTTTTGAGAAAATTATAAAACTTTCGTTCATAGATGTGCGCTTGAAGACTGGAGAAGATTCGCAGTGTGCGACTAGTGATTGGAAGAGGAAATTTTGATTAATTTTTTTACAATTTAGTAGACTTCTCTTTTTCTAGTCTGGTGCGATTACAGCGATAAGACGATGCTCTATATCTGCTGGTAGTATGATTATATGCGAGCGATAAATGATCTTATTATTAGACTTATTTTGCTAGATTATCAAATAAGATTATTTTTATCATACATTTTTTTTATCTAAATTGAGAGTAGCAAAACAGCGATGTGTGTGTGTGTGTGTGTGTGTGTGCGCGCGCACGCGCGCGTGTGGTTTATCGTGTGAAGGAGTGGATGACATTGACAAAAAAGTTGCAAGGAAACGATTATACATATAATCGGATTTATTAAAATATCTTAGGAAACTAATCTAGTACAAATATAATATAACAATAATAGTTTTAATGAAGCAATTTTTTCTTGGTGCCCGTCACTACTTTTAACTTAGTATCTTCCGAAATCGATGGTCACCTATGCACAAATATATGTTTTTGAGAACAAGTTTCGAAAAGTTCGCCAGGTATTTTTGATACTTTTTTTTATTGCAAGCAACCAGCTTCGTTCGGTGGTAGGCAGATTTTTCTTGTGGGGCTAAAATGTAGACCACCTTGGCAGTCTGTATCGGTCCAACCCAAACCACTAGGACGGCAAGTATAATACATGCCGCAGTCACATTCGTGAGATCTTAAATCGCCGTTGTTTCCTGGAGGATTAGTGCAAATTGGAGGAGGTGAAGTAGGAATGGTTGGACCGCAGTTTCCACCCTCTCTGTTCGCAACGCACTCCTGACATGTGCGACTGAAACACGTACCGCCTGGACAGGTACGCAACGATGGTACACCATTTATGCACTCATAGTATTGACCGCAGTTGTTGTGTGGGTAACTTATTCTAGACGTCGGCGGATATGTCCCGTCTCGGTTTCTTACGGGGCAACTCTCGCAACCGGCCTGCCATGGCCAATCGCAGACCTGCAGTTGTCTATTGTAGTGTAGTCTCGTCACTGGATCTCCCTCGGTCATCAGGGGACATTTTTGCAATACTCCTTTGCCAATGTCGCATTTGTAAAACAATGTGCAATCGGTTTCATGCGGGAGGTTGGTCGTAGTGTTGTCTGGACATCGTTCTGGGTATGGGCATACTGTGGTAACTACCGTGCAATCGTCCCTTAATTGAGATACCGCAAGTTGATTAACTTTTGCGGCGCTCACGGCCCACGATGCCAGAAAGGCGATGGCAATTATGTATATTCCTATGCAGCAAAAATCACACCATTAGAATGTTAACTGATAAGAATTCTTCAATGTCGCCAGCGTTAATTAACAACGTCAGTGTTTTCTTGATCATAAACACCTGGCATTTTTAATAATACAGAAAATTTATTATGGAAAATATTACATCAGTCAGGGTTTGAACCTGGACCTCCCTGCACTCTAGGCGGGCGTCTCACCAATTCGACTATCGAGGCACATTTTTATTGTCTTTTATCATATGCCTCGGTGGTCGAATTGGTGAGACGCCCGCCTAGAGTGTAGGGAGGTCCAGGTTCAAACCCTGGCTGAGGTAATATTTTTCGCAACAAATTTTCTGTATTATTAAAAATGCCAGGTATGGTTAAGAAAACACTGACGTTATTAAAATGTTAGCTGCGATACGATCGACTCGTGTTCTAATAGACTTTTATGGCACAACCGAATCGGCGTCAATTATTTATATAAATTGGAATTATTGAAATTTTCCAGCATACAACGTGTAAATATCGTGTTATTTTAGTCGACGGTTTTATTATAGAAATTTTGTAACACTCACCTTTCATCGCCTATTTTCGATTTAACCCGAACTTATAAAAACGTACCGTTCGTCCTGTCAACACCTCTTGAATTCGTTTAAATATGTTACTGGCCGAATTCTGGCGGATCGGCTTGTATAAATGTGCATCGTCTTATCGTGAAACACAAGGCCAGATATCTATCGGAGGCAGTCTTATCGAAGATAGACTTTCTTCTGCAAGAGAAATGATTACTATTAACCTCATTATATTGCAGAAGAATTGTTGCTCTAAGGTACGTGTGCACGAATAATGAACGGTCTTTATTCGGATCTTTCTAGTATTGATTGTGATTCGATAGTTTAGAACGCATTCGCGTGCATTAGCGTTTCGTGTGTTCAGTCGCGAAAGAGGGCGACGCTCGCGATTTGCCCCCGCGGAATTTGCCCCCGACCTCGGTACCACCTTCGGATGACCACTGATAAATTTCAACGACTTCTTTCTTTCTTATCCGGCGGGGTTTCCTATGTCGCACTCTCTCGTTTCCGGTTATGCGCGCACGCTCCTCATTTCCCGCGGCCATTCCGTTCTTCATCTTTCTCCCTTTCCCATTCCGTTCTCGCCATTTTGTCGAAACGGAGCGAGCTCTAGATGACTTTACTGAATCTGAATATTATCGATGGATTTATCCAGAACAGATGTACACGTATATGTATTCTATTTAGAAAAATTTCTCGTCTTTATCTCGTGAAATCTTTCTACGCAATTTAAATGGCAACTGATGAGTTTAATAAATTCACCAAATTGTCTGTTATTTAAAGCATCGAGATATTCAAAACTAACTGCAATTATGTGTAGAGGAAAGTCTTTTATTATAAGACAAGATTCTAATATGAGATAATGGAGTTTTACCGTCCAAATTCAATGACAAATCTTGTTTTGCAACAATTACACGATCTAACAATCATTTTTCCACTAAACAGACTTCAGTCCAAGGGCAAGAAATTCACGGTGGAACCAACAGATGATGCCTATTAATTCAGCAGAAACCCCGCAATCTCGTATTAGGAGCTTATCTCATAATAGGGGACTTTCCTCTAACAATACCAAGAAGAAAATGTCCGATCAGCCGCGATCGTTTATAAATGCGCGAGAAGATGTAGCCGCCGAATGCGGCTATTAAATTATTTCAAACGGTTCGGTGCATTTCCCATAATATACGGATATACTTTTGTATACGCCTATCTCTTCCCGATGTGCCGACCATACTGAGATTCTGCCGCAATCTGTTTCGTTTATCGCGACCACCCGCCCGGTCGCGAAATCGAGGATCGTTTCGCCCTCGAGAGACACGACGCTTTCCGGCTTTTCGCTCCTAAGTATCCGGCGAAATGACTTTTTTTTTCCGCGAGATCCTGGCCGTTAACCCGCGTCGGAGACGGTGTCGGAGAAAGCGGGTCTTACGCTCCAATAAAACAAGCAATATCGCGGTGTCCCGGGCGCCCAAAGGGGGGTCCTGCCGAGGTTATCCTGCCGCCTGGGGTTCGAGGGGACTCGCGAGGACGGGGAAGGAAGAGACAGGGGAGTAAGAGAGAGCGTCGTATATTGCTCTCGGATCATCGCGCCTGCATCGCATTAACGGGGATGATATCACCCTTTTGCACACCCACGTGGACGCGCGCGTGCGCGCATATTCTTCTTTGTACAATACGGACCGAGCGAGAGCGTACGGAACGCGCACGCACTACGTGGCGGACTTCCGTTCAATGGGGTCTCTTTGTGTCGCCGTCGAAATGCGGGCTTAAAAAGGCTGCATTCCCGAAAGGTGAAATAAGTTGGAATATCCGCTGGTGTCATACCATGGGCGCGATTAGTATTCGCGATCCGAACGCGAACGTCACTTCGTTATTTACCGATGATTGCGAAAAGTAGCTGACGCAAGAGTCGGGTGTTCGACTATAATTAACTGTGGTATAATTTGGGCCTGTGCAAAACGGTGCAAAAATTAATTGAAGCCAATTTGATTCGCACAATGTGTTTCGTTCATCTTTTATCGAAATCTGAGATACTAAAGTTAGGGATTAACTGTTGAAAGGTGAAATTCTGAAGATTTTCCCCCGGTGAAGTAAAGGATTTTAAATAAAGCCAAGGGAGATTGACAAATGATAATGGAACGATTCTGATGAGACTTATTATTATTGGTCACGAGCAGCTGAATGTCGCACGAAACAGTCGGGACGCGTTGCCGCGACGCAACGCGACGCGACGCGTCTCATTAAAGGATCCTGTCGTGCAATCGATCTATACGCGTTCCGCGAAGCGATAAATGCCGCCGACACACAGGGACAATCGCGTTGACGTACCACGAGCATTGATACCTTCGGGGTTTGGTTGCCAGGAAGGAAGGAAGGCGGACTGGAGAGCGACGTGGCGGGCGTAGCGATAAAGGCCCGATCACGCGTGTAACGCGCGGATTATTAATCG